TATAACATCCAGGTCTGCTAACACAGATTTGGCTGCCGAACCATATATAATACTTCCATAGTCTAACCTTGATCTTATTAAGGCTATATATATGTATTTCAGCGATGCTACATCCGCTCCCCACCCCAATCCTGCAAGACACCTCATGACATTTATAACTTTTTTACACATATCAACTACATATCTAATATGCTCTCTCCATGTTAATCTCACATCAAAATATACTCCCAAAAAACGAAAACTTTCGACTCTCTCTAAATTATTTCCACACAATTTCAAATACCATTCCCTGACTTTCTTTCTTGTGAAGAACATAACTTTTGTTTTTTCCACTGAAAACTTAAATCCCCATTTTGTTTCCCACTTTTCAACATGATTAATTCCATCTTGCATTTTCTTAGCTACATATTCCACATTTCTCCCTCTTTTCCACAATGCTCCATCATCTGCAAACAATGATCTCCCCATATCAGTTGGAATGTTTACAAATACATCATTTATCATAATGGAAAATAAAGTTGGACTTATTACACTCCCCTGAGGTGTCCCGTTTTCTACTATATATTGGCTAGATAGTTCTGCTCCTATCTTCCGGTGTTGACATCAACACGCAGACCCCGTGATGATTATCTGTTTGGTTTTGATTGACATGGGCAGCCCAAAGTGTTTTTCCCACATAGAATAATTAAAGCCCTTAATATCAATCAATCAATTTCAATTCAATTTCAATTTCAATTTTATTTATATAGCACCAAATCACAACAACAACAGTTAGGTCTAGACCGTACTCTGTGATGATATTTACAGAAGCCCAACAGTTCCCACCAAGAGCAAGCACTAGGCGACAGAGGCAAGGAAAAACTTCCTTTTAAGAGGCAGAAATCTCGAGCAGAACCATGGCTCAGGGTGGGCGGCCATCTGCCTCCACCGGTTGGGGGTGAAGGAGAGGGAGAGAGAGAGAGAGAGAGAGAGAGCAGGAGAGGAATAGAGAGAAAAAGAGAGGGATGTAAGGAGAGAGAGAGGGGAGGGAGGCAGCCTACACAATATACACACAGAGGTACAGACAGTGAAGGTGATGTTGCTATAGACTAAATGAAAAATGGTACAGATATTTATAATAGTGTTAATGGTAACAATCGTAATGTTAATGATTATAATAACAATAATAACAATAAGACTAGCAACAATAGTCGTTGCAGCAGAGGGTGTCGAGCAGGAACACGGGGGCAGCAGGTGACCCGCACCACAGATCCAGACTCCACAGCTCCAGAGCCAGAAAACCTGCAGGAAGTGATAGGAGAGAGGAGAGAGACGAGAAAGCACAAGACTACCAGAAAGGGGAGAAGTTGTGTTAGTAACATGCAATAATGGGATGAGGTTGCATACAGAGGGTGAGAAAGTAGAGGAGAGAGGAGCTCAGTGCATCATGGGAAATCCCCCGGCAGTCTAGGCCTATAGCAGCATAACTAAGGGATGGTTCAGGACTCACCTGAGCCAGCCCTAACTATAAGCTTTATCAAAGAGGAAAGTCTTAAGCCTACTCTTAAATGTGGAGATGGTGTCTGCCTCCTGAACCCAAACTGGAACCTGGTTCCACAGGAGGGGAGCTTGATAGCTGAATGCTCTGGCTCCTAGTCTACTTTTGGAGACTCTAGGAACCACAAGTAACCCTGCATTCTGGGAGCGCAGTGCTCTGGTGGGGTAGTAAGGTACTATGTGCTCTTTAAGATAAGATGGTGCCTGACCATTGAGAGTTTTGTAGGTAAGAAGAATGATTTTAAATTCTATTCTGGATTTTACTGGAAGCCAATGCAAAGAAGCTAAAACAGGAGAAATGTGATCTCTTTTCCTGGTTCCTGTCAGAACACGTGCTGCAGCATTCTGGTTCAGCTGAAGAGTCTTAATGGACTTTTTCGAGCAGCCTGATAATAAGGAATTGCAGTAATCCAGCCTAGAAGTAACAAATGCATGGACTAGTTTTTCTGCATCATTTTTAGACAGGATGTTCCTGATTTTCGCAATATTACGTAGGTGAAAAAAGGCGGTCCTTGAAATTTGCTTAATGTGAGACTTAAACGACATGTCCTGATCAAAGATAACTCCAAGATTCCTCACAGTGGTGCTGGAGGCCAGGGCGATGCCATCCAGGGAAACTATATCTTTAGATAATGCGTCACGGAGGTGCTTAGGCCCCAGAGCAATAACTTCAGTTTTATCTGAGTTTAACATGAGAAAATTACAGGTCATCCAGGTTTTAACATCCTGAAGGCACATTTGAAGTTTAGCTAACTGATGAGTTTCATCTGGCTTGATCGATAGATATAACTGAGTATCATCTGCATAACAATGAAAGCTTATGGAATGTTTCCTGATAATATTGCCTAAAGGAAGCATATATAAAGTGAAGAGGATTGGTCCGAGGACAGATCCTTGAGGAACTCCATGACTAACTTTGGCATGCATGGACTCTCATCGTTAACATGTACATGTAAATCCTGACTGAAAATCCTCAAATAAACAATTGCTCTGTAGAAAGTCACACAGCTGTTTAGCAACTGCTTTCTCCAGAATCTTAGAGAGAAATGGAAGGTTAGATATAGGTCTATAGTTGGCTAAAACATCCGGATCAAGTTTGGGCTTTTTCAGAAGAGGTTTAATTACAGCTACTTTAAAGTACTGTGGTACATAGCCTGTTGATAAAGATAGATTGATCATATCTAGTATAGAGGTGCTGACTAAGGGTAAAACATCTTTAAGCAGCCTAGTCGGGATGGGGTCTAAGAGGCAGGCTGATGGTTTAGATGAAGAAATTATTGAAGTTAGTTGGTAAAGATTGAGGGAAGCAAAACAGTCTAAACATGTATCTGGTTCTACAGCTGTTTCTAAGGTTCCTGAGTTAAGAGATAAGCTGGTGCCAGTTGAGGGAAGGTCTTGGTGAATTTTGTCTCTAATAGCTAGAATTTTATCATTAAAGAAGCTCATGAAGTCGTAACTACTGAGAGCTATGGGAATACTTGGCTCAATAGAGCTGTGACTCTCTGTCAGCCTGGCTACAGTGCTGAAAAGAAACTTTGGGTTGTTCCTATTTTCCTCTATTAATGACGAGTAGTACGCTGCTCTGGCATTACGGAGGGCCTTCCTATAAGTTTTAAGACTATCTTGCCAAATTAAACGAGAATTTTCCACTTTGGTGGAACGCCAATTCCTCTCAAGTTTCCTCTCAGTGTTTATTTGTATAGCACTTTTAATACAACAGCCATGTAACAGAAAGTGCTTCACATTATAAATGAAGAAGACAATGACAATGATGCCTGTAACACCACAATCTGTGACCTATCAGATTCTGTGACTACACCCAAAAGACGATGTTTTCCCTACCATAACCAAGTACTGTTGGAACCTAAACACAACCAAACTGCAACCGCTTCTCATCGTCAACAAAGCCTCTGGCGCGTAACTTCCCATTTGGGTCACAGAATCTGATCACAGATTGTGGTGTCACGCCTCACCCCCCCTCAAGACACACATACACACACACACACACACACACACACACAGCTTTAAAGTAAAAGGCAATAAAAATATGAGGTTTAAATTTAACAATTAATTTCAAAAAAGCAAAAAAGCATTTTGTACTCAGTTCATACCGTCAGCTCATACCAGTATTTTATGAGGTTATTGGGGGGGTTACATACACATTGTGGGTGTTATAGGCTGTTTGCAGTATTTTATAGATACAAAAATTCCCAGTTAATGTGTAGTACTTTTATTAATTCATAATTCATCCCAGCCCAGACATTATATGACATACCAGGTACTACTTACTTATCTAAAATTTAGCTTAATCATTTTTAAAATGATTGGCTTCTGCTTCTTGGTTCTGCTAAACCTCATCCTGTGTATTGTGCATTCCAGAGACAGAGAAAAGCATTACCAAGAGGGCATCATTGACTACTCTGGTATTATTATTATTTTGCTGAGCCTGTTTCCAGTCTTTGTTTATGTCTAATAGGAAGAGATGAAGTTGAGGAATATATGATGTATATCTACAGTATAGTAGTACTAGTAAAGCAATCTGCATTTTAGCAAATTGCCAAATACACCTGTCAAACCCATACATACCACTATATATATTGTGCTGTTTGACTACAAGTCCAATGTTCTGTGTGCATATCAGCTGTGACATTATTCAGTATGTTTCCAACTTTGTTACACCACGAAGATTAGAGTTCATGACACTTTTGGAACAGGGTTGAGGTGTTTATTAGTTTCATTTGTGTTTGGTAATATTGCACAACTTAGTAGACTTACAGTGGGGAGAACAAGTATTTGATACTGCTGATTTTGCAGGTTTTCCTACTTACAAAGCATGTATAAGTCTGTAATTTTTATCATAGGTACACTTCAACTGTGAGAGACGGAATCTAAAACAAAAATCCAGAAAATCACATTGTCTGATTTTTAAATAATTAATTTGCATTTTATTGCATTCCTGTAGTTCTTGATTCTTTGTGGACAATTGTTCTTATACAAAATATTTTTTTTAAACAGGCCATATAATTTAAACCTATACAACCAATGACAATGCGCACCAGAGGAACACCATGAGTAACAGCTTTCATTGTATTCATTTTTGTCAAAACTCTTGCTTTGATTACATGATTGTTTAGAAAAGGTGTACAAATAGCCAGGGGTCCACTTAAATTGTTAATTTTTGTGTTGGGTTTTCCCTAAAACATCCCCAAATAAAAGTTCAGAAGTGCTGGGTGGTGCATTCAAGTGTTTCATGAGTAACAGCAGCCTCTAGTGGTTTAAAAGAAATGTCTGCAAGTGTCAAGCAAGGGGGATACTCTACACTTGACATGTCTGTGTCCATTACAGTGTAGTAAAGGACCTGTTTTGTAAGGAAACCATGAAAAAAAAACTGTTTACACAGAAAGAGAGAAAATATTTTACATGTGAAAATATATGCACACATTTAAAGTAAATGTCTGAATTCATTCTTGTTTAGAATTGTCAAATGTTTAATTTTTAAATTCCAGGCTTAACTTTTGCAACCAATGTACTTTACAACAAAACACAATACAGCAGTTTTACATTAATGCCTCAACAAAAAACATGACCTTTACATAAAAAATTAAAGCTAAAATGAGGATCCTTTTACAGCAACAAAATCTGTTTTTACATCCAAAACACCCCAAAATATAATTTGGAAGAATTCTTCCAAACATGCAGTGCAATATTAACGTGAGAAGATAAAATTCAACGCTTCAGCAAGAAATAGTACAACCAGTCTTCCTAAGATTTACAACTAAACGGTGTTCAATAAAGTTTCAGGTATATTGTACATGTGAGTTTGTTCTCAAACGGTTGCAAACACATTTAACTGAGACTCATTCATGCAGTAGTAAACACAGCTGACTATTGCATGAATGAATCTGCATCAAAAATGTAATCATGTCTATAAGTTCTATGTAGGACTGAGCAGTATAATCATAATATGAGGCAAAGTATCTGATAATTGATAAAATGTTGCATCCATGTATATGATTATAATCACAGCAATTTCTTTGTAATGCTACTGCAATGAACAATTTAACAATTGATTGATGTGCTGAAAAAAACACCTGTGCGTGGATTTATGGCATTTAAAATGTGGTATACAGCCCAGTCCTACATAGAAATATTGCATTTAAAGCCCAGAGTAAGTCATGTCCATGGCAAGAAGTTACAATGCAGTGCGAGGCCCAGCACCCAGTAAGAGAGGAAGTATCCCAGGATGCTCTGTGTGGTAGGAGAACAAGTTGTAAAGTGTGGCAGCAGAGCAATGATGGGGTTTTGAGGCGTGTGCTTGCATCCATTTCGTGAATGTGTCTGTAGCTGTACGTTGGGGTTTGAGGTTTTCCTTCGATGGAGAAGTGGTTCATTGAGCAGGAGCAGATGAGCACTTATCCAGAAGGGCACGGGAGACGAGGAGGCCATGAATCTGGTTAAAACCTAGAAATGTAGATTAAAAATGGGAATAAGTGGAATGAGTTGTTCCTCTCACCCGGACAGATTAAATGTGCCACAAGAAGATGATTATACAATTTACTTACCTGCACATGCATGCACAGTGTTCCAAACACCAGGAGTACTGTTGAATGTACAACATACACAAACACCCTGGGGTTGAACAGTCCCGGTGTGGGTTTGTCAAGCCCTTTACTTGCGCCGCTCTCCCAAAGTCCGAGTCTCAGACACAGCTCTGGGTTAGCTTGAAAGTATGCATAAGCTGCCATTATGCCGAGGGTAGCCATGGGTAGAGCCAGAATAAAGTTTGGTATCTGCTTCAGCTCAAAGTAGCGGAGGAAGCCCACGTCCCAGTACACATCCTGGATATGAGAATAAAGCAGGGGGAGGGGTCTCATGCACCAGAGTGGTGGTGGACCATTTTCATCAGGAACCCTGTAGCCCTTCCGCTCAGCTAGTGACAGAAGAGCATGTGGGATCCGTTCCAAGGAGACGGATGGTGTGCAAAACGTCCTATACCCGTAATACTGGAACGCACAGAAGGGAAGGGCAATAATTGCAGTTCCCAAGAGGGAGGTTAGCAGGAGACGGATGATGACCCAAATGTAGTGCAAGACTTTAGTGTGGCCTTTTGTTGTTGTTCTATATACACGAATTTGGGAAATAGCGTGCAGTGATGGAAGATATAGTAGGAATCCTATGTTAACAAGTCCATTGGATCGTGCTGCAGTGGCTATACTGAGCGCCAGGCAGGCCCGAAAGGTGAATCCTTTTTCCAGGAGGAACAGGCCACCGAATGTGAGCGCAGCAAACAGGCTCTCTGAGTATCCGGCAGTCATGAAAACATTGGCAGGTGTGATGCAGTAGAGCAGGCTGGAGAGCAGAGCAAGGCGCCTGTCCTGAAGAACTATCCTACTAAGCGCATGCAAGGCGACCACACTCAGCAAGAAGAGGGCACTGTTCCCCAGGGCCACAGCCACCAGCAAACGCCCCCGCACACTCAGCCAGCTGCTCAGAGGCCACAGTACCGTGTCTGCCAGGCCTCGCAGGACGACAGGGAAGAGCGGGAAGAAAGCAAAGTTGTGCTCATAAAGGTATCCTCTCTCAGCAATGAAGAGGTAATGCTCGGCATCCCAGTGAGAGAGCCCACCCAACAACCACTCCACCGCACAGTCCAAGTACAGAGGCTCCTCTGTCCGGGGGGGCCTGAACGCATCAGCATCATGGTCAGGAATGGCAGCATTCAGGACCGCCTGAGAAGAAATATTTTTCAATAAACAGAGGTTTGCTGAACAGAGAAACAAACCACACACACACACACACACACACACACACACACACGTGTACAGTCACTTTGTCTGTGACCTACTTATCACAGACTGTATTCCCATGAGCACTATTCGTTAACTACCACACAGAAACATAAAATTGCCAAGGTGACTTCAACATCAGAGGGATTTAAGGTTAATAACCTTAGTTTATAGCTATAACATTATAGCTATAAACTGGGGAAGCTAGATTTGCAAATTACATCCACCTCGCCTGAAACTTACCTGCAGGAACAGTGACAGACCCCTGGCAACTGTGGCAAACTCCAGAACTGCTCTGACATCCATGGTCATTGATGTGATGGACAAAATCTGAACAAGCCAGCTGTGACAGGCCTGAACATTATCGCTCCTACGAGACAGCCACTGTCGGCTTCGTCGTGTTTTCTAGAAAACATAGCTTTCTGTGAAAAAAATATTCGACAAATGACATTTCGCGTTTTCATTGATTCGACAAATTTCGGAGACGGTAACGTTAAACACTCGCTTTGTTAAGATAGCCACGGTCTTCAAGCAGCGTTTGTTTTCTCTGGGTGCAATCTTTGTCCTCATATCCTCACCCTGCAGCTGCCTGCCTCTTTCGAAAGGCACTTTTCACTTCCGGTGTATCCCAGAACGCATTTCAAAATAAAAGCGCATGAGCCCGGGCGAGGAAAACCTTGGAGTTTTCGTAATGCATAGCGTGATAGTTAATTGTTTAGCTTTTATTGACCTAAGTTTTATAACATATCTGCTTTGATTTTACTGTAACGTTGTAAGTCAAATCTTGTGATGACGTGACGGGTGAGATATTTTCTCTGTCCAGCAGGCGGCGCTCCACACCGTCTGATGGACTAGTTTCTCTAAGTGGGGCAGCTATGTCATTTTAAAAATGGGAAAACATTTGTTTTTGCCAACCTTTTAAGTCTCTCTTGTCTATTAATTGTGATTGGCCAGATTTAAGGTGAATATTCTCACACAGGCCTTTGTAAGTAATCTTACAAATGTGGGTTTTATAGAATATTTTCACCTTATTAAATGTGCATTAAGTGGTTTCTTACCCATTATGTGTCTTGCCCGATTAGGGTATAAGCAGAAATGTTTAACTTTCATGGAGTAGAGTACTGTTTAGATAAGTAAGTTAATACAAAGAGAAATCGGTCCTACTTCCTCAAACTTGCTGATGGCTCTGGTGCATTGCAGTTTTATTTTTTAACATGTATGCTGGTTTTTACTGAAACATAAAACCAGAATTAAAGCTAATGCAAACAGTGAATCCCTGAACACTGCCGCAAAGATACATCCATGTCAGAAATTCTTTTGAACCCAATTTGGATTTGATTGTCCAGACGAGCTCATTCCAGAAGAACAAAACCATCAAACAGCTTACGAAGATTTAATGTACATTTATTCTTACCACGTGGAACATATAGTATAAAGATTTCATACTGAATAAATGATATTCATTGAGCCAAAAAAGGGAAAGGGGGGAATTTACATGTTGTATTAGCTACATAGTCTGAAATACAAATATGCAGAATCCATGACTGAAGAAAAATTGTCAAATGTGTACTTCATCTAGTTTATTTTTGTTGTACCAGGAGATAACAGGTTTGAGCCGTGTCTGCCGTACTACGGAGCTGTGGAGAGACCAGGCGAGTGGGTCTAATCAGCAGGGACTGGAGGTCACAGACCAAACTCACATGTCAGCCTCAATCCCTCACCGATAACAAGTGTGAGAATAGTGACACAGACAGGGACAGACACAGAGAAAGGAAGTGTAATGTACAACATTATTATATACACCACAGCAAAGCTGTATCTGAAGCTGAAAACCAGTCCTAAGAGGTGATTTCTTTTCATTAGGGAATTCATACAATCAAGGGATAAGAGGAGGTAAGGGTGTTGTAGGTTCTTGATACTTTGGGGAAGAAAGCCATTTTCTGTTTAACACCAAACTAAAATGACCTCAAAATTCTAGAAGAGCTGCATCTTCTGCTTCTGTGTGAAACGTGTTACAGAATGCTTACACTCAAGAGCAGTACGGTACAGAAAATGTCCTACAATCTACTGCACACTGCACAGGCCTCCCCGGTGAAGGTGTCTATTGACAGCACTTTGTCTACGGTCGGGCTGACTGGTGAGAATCCAACTACAGCAACTACAACCATTAGGCCACTTGTCAGTCTGCTTCACCTCTGAACGTCAACCACTTACAGACTCATTGTGCCCTCGAGGGGAGAGCTAGGGCACACTGTGTCTCCCAAACTCACTGTAAACGAGACAGCAACTTTGGTTACAGTTTTTGTTTTTCAGCTATTTATTTATTTATTCATTTATTTAACTTTATTAAAAAGTACTTTCCCCCAAGAGCAGAACAGTCTCCAAACCGTGGTGCTCTGCTCTGTGTCATCCAGATGGCATTCGTGTTGCAAGTAGTGTCATTTTATGGGCATCTTTCTGGTTTGTAATCCACCACAGCTCTGTGATTACCCTCCTCGAGCAAGGACGGCCTGGGGAGGGCTCAGAGAATGGAATCTGAAGGATTTTCATAAATTAAAGACAGTCACTTGAACTCTCCTTGCCCCTGTTACGCACACAAGCCAGGTTTCCAGGGAAGAGGGGACTGAGGATTGAAAACCCCAAAAAGTGGAGCCACAGCTCCCTACATCTGTCATGACTGGCCAATCAAAAAGAGTACATCACAGATAACATGAGAAACCAGCGAGTTCATTAGGGGAGACACTGAAAGGTCGAGGAGTCGGGACTCGTGTAGTGTGAACTCTGAGTGGTTCTCCTCCACCTTGGCTAAGGCGTGCAGAGCCCGGGCAGCTCGCCGCATCATGTCCGGGCTTGTGGGCTCGAAGTGCATACCCTGTAGGTGTAGTAGAGAGCTCTGGCTCTGCTGAAGCTGTGTGGCAGCCAGACTGTCCTCCAGGAAGCCCAGCAAGTTGCCCACACTGCCTTTCTGAACAGCAATTGCTCGGGCTGCCATAGTATCACCCTGGGCCAGGTTGGCCAGTAGGACCACCGCCATCTCCCTGCAGACTGCAACCTTTCTGTCTCCGATTTGCCGCACCAGGTTCCCGTACAGCTTCTCCAACCGACTGAATGGCGGAGTGGCCAAGATGAGGTCCACGTTGTTGTCTTGGATGCTTAGTTTGCTTAGCGTCTCCAGGACCAGTCTCTGAGGTGACAAAGCACTGTGGGGGCCCAGGGTGGGGAAGGGGTCCTGGGCCTCTGCTGAAGGGCAGACAGCCCAGTGGAGAAGACCATCCAACAGAGGCAAGCAGATGCTCTCGGGGTAGACTGAGAGGTCCAGTTGGCCTGAGATGTTCGCCAAAGTGACCAGTGTGTTCTCTCTCAGGAGCCCGAGGCAGTCCCACCACCATTCATCCCTTTGGCCCATTCCCTCCTCTGAATCCTCATCTTTCTCATAGGTGAGTGGAGCCTGTTTGCGCTCCGGGTGCCTGTGGTGGAGCAGGATCAAGCGACCTAGTAGCAGCAGCAGCCCTGGATGTTTGGACATCTCGTGGTCATTGCCTGGCACAAAGGAGAGGCTGCGGACAATATTGGAGACACAAATGCAGCGGCGGGCTAAAGAATCCTGCCAGTTAGCCAGTGCAATGAGCGGCCCCTCATCTTTACTGTGAGGCTCATCCTCCAGGATAGTGCCAGTCGGCTGTGACTGCTGGGTTAAAATACTGCCGGAGGAAAGAACGGGTCTATTATTCTCCTGGTGACTTTTAACACCTTGCTCAACTGTCTTTGTCTCAGAATCTGTTTTCCTGTCTTCCTCATTACTGAATGAGGGGTTGGCCTTCTCTGAGACTGCAGCTTTCTCTAATGAGGAAGAAGTCTCTTTTGGCCTTTCTTCTTCATCCTGATGCTTCCTTTTCTCTTCCTCAGTTGGCAAGCAATTTTCCAGTATCTGTTCTTCGGGGACTCGTCGCCTCAGCAAAATTTGGGGCACAGGTATTCGTTCCCGTGGCTCCAAGAAGTCTTTGCGTGGTTCAAAGTGGGTCTGGATGTGTTCTGTTGAGTCTCCCCCTCCAGCGCTCCAGTGAACCAACCCGCTGTCAAACTCTTGCAGTTTCCCATGATTACTGGACTGGCCAGCTACAAATGGGTCTTTCTTTCGTACCACTTTGAGGGGAAACTTGTCAAACTTGCTGGCCTGTTGGGGTCTCTCATGGGCAGCTAAGGACTGTGAGGAACCGGACTGCTGGGATGAAGAACCCTTGCTCTTCCTCTCCTCATCTTCTGTCTTTTCATCTCGACCCCGAGCCTCAGAGCACTGCTCTTGTTCTTCCTCCTCTTTCACATGAGCTGGCCCCTCCATTTCTCGTTCCTCTTCTTCTTCGTCGTCGCCATCTTCTTCCTCTTGTTCCATGTCCTCTGCCCGTGGTTCCTCTTCTTCCGTGCTGTCCCAGTCTCGTTTCAAGGCATCAGGATCAAGTAGTGTCCTCTGACCAGGGTCTCCCACCTCATACTCCCGCAGAATGCCAAAGATTTCAATGAGGCAGCGTCTGAAATACTCAACCACCAACTCTAGCAGGCCAGGTAACTGAAGAAAGAACATAAATATTTATTTATAATTTATTCTATAATATTACATGATTACTATGCATAGGGTACTGTTATAAACTGTCATTAAGGGCTCACCGTGTTGAGATCAAAGGTGGAAATACTGCTGTCATCATACAGGAGAATGTTGATGGTATCTAAGGCCCATGTACTCTCAGCCAATAAACCAGACTTTAATGACATCATGACTCTCCAGGCCTCCGGAGTTCCTAAGAAGTCAAGACAAAAAAAAAACACACATTACAACACACAATTAGTACCAAATACGCTCTAAGCAACAATTTATTGGTGGGCTAAGCAACATTAGGCAGTGCTGTCAATAATAAACAAGGTCAATATCACAAGATGGATACGATTTTTATAAATCTAAAGTCATACCGATATCTTTAACGGTGAGCCTCCGACGTGGTTTCAGGACAGGATGGGTAGCTTCTATAGAGCCCGGGGGAAAAGGCATGTCTCGCCTTATTAGAGGCGACTGCACCGGAGGGGGCACTATGTGAGATGCAGGCACTGGAGGGCCGGCCTTCTGCATCTTCATTACTCCGTGCATATAAGGAGATTTACTAGGCGATGTTCTGCTCTCCATGGGGCGGGGCATGGAGGCGAGGCTGGACACCTGTGGAATGTGGTTCTGCACACCCTGAGGGGGCTGGTAGTTGGACTGTACTGAACGAGGCATGGGTTGGCCAGGCCCTGCTGGACCATAAGGGGGCTGTCGTGGGCCCATCTGACCCCCCCACTGGCCATCATGATTCATGCGCTGTTCTGATGACATCATTTCCTCTGAGCGGTTCATGCCAGGGAAACCGGGTGCCTGGGGTGGACCCCCAGAGCCACCCTGACGGCCTGGATAGTTCTGATAGTTAATGTCTCGTGGTCCCTGCCACATACCTCCCTGAGGACCGTCAGGGCCTGACTGCATCATCTGAGGGGGCATGTTGGGCTGAGCGTTAGGCCCCGTTGCTCCCTGCATCCGTTCACGACCAAAGGCAAAGGGGAACTGATTGCCTGGGCCAGGT